GTCTCCCACCGTGGTCATCAAAGCCGTACGCCTGGAACTTATCAGACCAGTCCAACTCCAGAGTCTGCTGGGCCTCTGCTGTCGCCCTGACACACACACACACACACACACACACACACACACACACACACACACACACACACACACACAGGTCAGGCTTTTATTCTGAAAGGCTTCATTTTACAAGAGTTAGCAACTCAAAATCAGAAGAAACATCAGAGAGACTTTCTGAAGGTCTGCAAAACAGCTGAGTCCAGGTAAGTCCAGGTAAGTCCAGGTAAGTCCAGGTAAGTCCAGGTGAGTTCCTTACCTCTTTGAAGCAGGGTAAAGCTCCACGGTCACCACCTCGATGCCGTTCCATGCCGCTGCACTGACGCCGCAGAACAAACACTGAAGAGCGATGATGGCGGACTGGCTGAAGCTCAGGAACAGGAAGAAGCTGCAGCAGGCAGAGATGAGCATGGATCCACCTGAGGAGACCAAGAAGAGTCTGAGTCTGAGCTGGAGGTACGAGCAACACAATCCTGCTGATTCATGCTTCACCTATGATTTTAACCCTGCCGAGCTTCTCCACGAAGAGCGCTGAGATGATGTTTCCCGGCAACACGGCCAGGCTGCCCAGGAAGCTGACCAGGTAGATGAGCACGTCGTTCTCCTCCACCGTGTCCAGGTGGCAGCCATGTTTGTTGTGCTCAAACGTGGTGTTCTCCATCCTGCAGTCGATGAACTTCTCCTCCCACAGGTCTGCAGAGCACCAGAGGAACGTCAAAGACCAGAACCAGAAGCTCTGGGGGTCAGAGTTTCTGTGACTGAAGTGATTTTTGTTCACACTCAACAGGAAACCAAAAGACGGACATTGGCTGACCATCTACAACCTCGGGAGTCAACCAATTCAAGATGGCCGCCTCAGCTAAGCACCCAGATGTCTAGTTTACAGAGATCAGGCTGCTCGTAGCTGAAAGTCAGACAGGACGATGTGTTTAAAGGCCAGCAGGTGAGTTCGGTCCTGAGAAAAAGCTGAAGCTGAAGGTCCTCCTACTAGCCCCACCCCTCCAGGTGAACCCACCTGTGTTATAGAAAACGGTGGTGCGGATGGTGCAGTTCTCAAAGACGGTGTCCGTGGATCTGATGTCCTCGAAGAGACAGTCCTCGAACAGAGAGTCCTGGAACCTGACGGACTTCATCTCTATCCCGATGAACCTGGGAAGGTGGGATGGGACAGACCACAGACACACAGAGGGCCTTTCTCAGTGCCGAGCTCCCACCTGGGTCCCTGAAAACCTTCAGGACCACACCTGACTAACAGATCCACCTGAAGGTCCAGGTTTTCACTCTGTTTATTCTACACCATCATTTACCAGCCTGAATGCTGAGTCAGCATTCTGCTCCCGTTGAGAGTTTTAGACCCTTCAAGACTTCTTCAGACCCTCAATATCCAGGTATCAAAACATTTAGCTTCTTCTGTGCTAAAAATGTTTGTTTTTACATTTTATACTTTTTGAAATATTCTGTATGTTAGTTTTACTTTTAGCTTTCAGATACTGTTCTGTTAGTTTTAGCTTTCAGCTACTATTCTGTTAATGTTAGCTTTCAGCTACTATTCTGTTAATGTTAGCTTTCAGCTACTATTCTGTTAATGTTAGCTTTCAGCTACTGTTCTGTTAATTTTAGCTTTCAGCTACTATTCTGTTAATGTTAGCTTTCAGCTACTATTCTGTTAATGTTAGCTTTCAGCTACTATTCTGTTAATTTTAGCTTTCAGCTACTGTTCTGTTAGTTTTAGCTTTCATTTACTGTTCTGTTAATTTCAGCTTTCAGCTAACGTTCTGTTAATTTTAGCTTTCAGCTACTGTTCTGTTAATTTCAGCTTTCAGCTAACGTTCTGTTAATTTTAGCTTTCAGCTACTGTTCGTTAATTTTAGCTTTCAGCTACTGTTCTTTCATTTTAGCTTTCAGCTACTGTTCTTTTATTTTAGTTTTCAGCTACTGTACTGTTAATTTTAGCTTTCATTTACTGTTCTGTTAATTTTAGCTTTCATTTACTGTTCTGTTAATTTTAGCTTTCATTTACTGTTCTGTTAATTTTAGCTTTTAGCTACTGTTCTGTTAATTTTAGCTTTCAGCTAACCTGTTAATTTTAGCTTTCAGCTACTGTTCTTTTATTTTAGCTTTCAGTAACTGTTCTGTTAATTTTAGCTTTCAGCTACTGTTCTGTTAGTTTTAGCATTCAGCTAACGTTCTAATAATTTAGCTTATAGCTACTGTTCAGTTCATTTAGCTGTTCAGTTAATTTTAGCTCATAGCTATTATTCAGATAACTTTCAGCTGTTTGATGAACGGCAGGTTGAGAAAGGCTGTCGATGAACATGCACTGACTTCTATGTTCTGCAGAATGGACAGAACCAGCCGAATGTGAAAACTCCCAGCATGCACTGCTTCCTGTCAGAGAGGCGCATTGGGCTGAAGAGTTGTTTCCATTGCAACACATTCTGCTACGATCCAAGTGAAAACTGGATCTCGTTCCGTCAGTTTCATTCTGTGACGTCCATAGAAGTCCGTTTGTTTACAGCTGAGGAACGTTCTGTAGATGTTCTCTGAGAAGGAGAGGTGCTCTCTGACAGGGAGAACATGAGGAACGTTCTTTGAAGGAGAACAGTTCTACGGTCACAATGTAATGAGTAATGTTTGTAATGTAATGTTTTTAAGTCAACAGGAGGAAATAGAACAGAAACAAAGACTGAAGCTCATTTTTCTGAAGGTTCTAAAAGATTCTCAGATGTTTCAGTTTAACTGAACCTCTGCTCAGAACCAGCTGCTGGTCGAGCTCTATCCAAGTAGGGGTCCCTGCTGTACATGTCCGTTGTCATATGGGCGGAGGTCTTGATGTGGGTGGAGATGGCCCTAATCGTGGTTGGTGGAGTTCTTGATGTGGGCTGAGTTTGCCCTGACCGTGATTGGTGAACGTCTTGTTGTGGGCGTAGTTGGCCCTAATAGTGATTGGCAGAGTTGGTATGTGGGCAGAGATGGCCCTGACAGTGATTGGCGGAGGTCTTGATGTGGGTTTAGATCTTGATGTGGGTAGAGATGGCTCTACCCATGATTGGCGGAGGTCATGATATGGTGAAGATGGCCCTATTCATGATTGGTGGATGTCTTGATGTGGGAGGAGATGGCCATACCCGTTATTTGCAGAGGTCTTGATGTGGGGGAAGATGGCCCTACCCGTTATTTGCAAAGGTCTTGATGTGGGGGAAGATGGCCCTACCCGTCCGTGATTGGCGGAGGTCATGATGTGAGCGAAGTTGTCCCTACCCATGATTGGCGGAGGTCATGATATGGTGGAGATGGCCCTACTTGTGAATGGCGGAAGTCATGATGTGGGCGGAGTTGTCTGTATCCATGATTGGCGGAGGTCTTGATGTGGGTGGAGTTGGCCCTACATGTGATTGGGGTCTTGATGTGAGTGGAGTTGGCTCTACCTGTGATTGGTTGAGGTCTTGATGTGGGCAGATTTGGCTCTACCTGTGATTGGCATAGGTCTTGTTGTGGGCGGAGTTTGCCCTGACCATGATTGGCAGAGGTCTTGTTGTGGGCGTAGTTGGCCCTAAAAGTGATTTGTGGAGATGGTGTGTAGGTGGAGTTGGCCCTATTCGTGATTGGCAGGGGCCCTGTTGTGGGCGGAGTTTGCCCTAACTGTGACAGATCAGATTGACTCGTCTTGTGGGGTAATTTTAAGAGGAAATAATGACAGTAAAATAATAGGATTTATTGACTGTCTCTGTAGAGTTTAAAACAGAAAAATGATTCAAATAAAAGTTACTGTAAACATAAATTATTGACTTCAAAATTCATGCAGCTAGCAAATTCCTGTTTCAAATTATGACTAATATTCATATTCATACTGATTATTACAGGGCTGTTTAGGGATGTTTTGATGATCCGAATTGTTAAACGTCTCTCCATGTGTACAGCGTTTAAATTTAGTGCAGCGAGCACCTTCCTGTGTCAGGTTATGACTAAAATTAATCTCTATATTTAAAAAACACAGGAGCTTCCTGCCCGAGTCGACCATGCTGCGCCACCCCCAGCTTCTTCAAGTCCCACCATCAATCTGGCCAATCATGTCTTGGACCAACTCCTCCCACAAAATCAGGAACTCCCACTCAGTGACTGCAGAGACCCCCTTCTCCTGTGACTGACGTTCCTTAGATGAAGAACTTTAGTCATGGATCACACAGTAGACCTCCTGCTGGAACAGAACGGTCACTCACTTGTCTCGGACGTATTCTCCTTCTTTATGGACCTGGTTCTCCAGAGAAAAGTTGAAATGGAAGTTCTCAACCCGTTCTCTGTGGAACATCTGAACAAACAATAATGTGAGTAAAGTTCAGCTGAATGAATGGATACAAAGGTTTTTTTCTCCAGATGTTCTGTGGTTCTCCTCACCTTCACTTTGGACTCGTACTCCTCGTACTGCAGATGTTTGACCATGTCAGGGAACCACACGGACAGACCATAATAACTGTGGAGAGACCAGTATGTGATGAAACTCTGCAGACATGAAGAACCTCCTGAGTGGACCGGTTCTGACCCGGGTCAGGACTGAAACCCACCTGAAGGCCATGCAGAACCAGATGACGGCCATGAAAAGCGTAGCGAACCTCAGCTCAGCAGACAGCAGCGACGCCACGTTCCTCAGAACCTGCAGAGAAACCAGAACCTACTGAGACCATGGGTCGGGTCCACAACCGGGACAACAGAACACAGGTCCAAACAACCGGAACCAAATGGAAGCAGAATAATTTGACTGAAACAAAGAGGTCTGGCCTCTTTGTTTTTAATCTGATTATTCTGCTGAGTCATGTTTACACCAATGTAAAGTCCAGATCAGACCCAGAACCAGATCCTGGATCAGACTCATCCCAGTGTACAGTACTCTGGGACCAGGTTTGTGTCTCTGGGACCTGGTTAGTGTCTCTGGGACCAGGTTAGTGTCTTTGGGACCAGTTAGTGTCTCTGGGACCAGTTAATGTCTCTGAGACCAGGTTAGTGTCTCTGGGACCAGTTTGTGTCTCTGGGACCAGGTTAGTGTCTCTGGGACCAGTTAGTGTCTCTGGGACCAGTTAATGTCTCTGAGACCAGTTAGTGTCTCTGAGACCAGTTAGTGTCTCTGAGACCAGGTTAGTGTCTCTGAGACCAGTTAGTGTCTCTGAGACCAGGTTAGTGTCTCTGAGACCAGTTTGTGTCTCTGGGACCAGGTTAGTGTCTCTGAGACCAGGTTTGTGTCTCTGAGACCAGTTAGTGTCTCTGGGACCTGGTTAGTGTCTCTGGGACCAGGTCCTGGTCCACGTACCAGTTTACAGAGGGTGAAGGAGCGAACGGCCCATCTCTGCACCGGTGTTCCTGTGGCGCTCTGGATCTCGATGAACTCGTCTTCGGCTGTCTTCGGGGCCTTGATGTGGGTCACCTGAGGAACACGAGAAAACCAAACGGTCCTGAGACTTCAGCGGGGTTCTGCTGGGTTCACTGGAACCAGAACCAGAGCTCCAGCTGGTCTGATAGAACCTCTAAAAGGAAACCAAAGAGCTGCTCTGATGCTCCAGCTGGTTTTAGCAACCATCACATTTGTAGCATTTGCTAATTTTAGCTTTTGTTCTGACGGCTGTTTTGCTGTAATTTATGCAGAAATGATCAAATAACAGCTGAATAATTCAAGTTTTCTGATGTTTGTATTAAATCCCGCAGAGAAAAGCTCTTAGATCTTCATTTAAAGTTAGAGAAAGAAGCAAGCTTTAAACGAAATGTTTGCAGCTTCGCCTCCATCTGTCATCTTAAACTGGGTCGGCTGCTCTGAGACATGAAATCTATTTTAAGAAGCTGATTTTACTTAAACCTTCATTTTTATAAAGTTTCATCAAAACATTCGTCTCCAACAAGGTTTCTGTCAGAAGTCAGACTATTTCCAGCTCAGACCGTCTCAATAATCTGATTATAATCCAAGTTTTAAACTCAGAAAATGTGTTTTATCAGAAAAAAAACACGTTTTAGTTGTTTTATTTATTTGGACTCACTGTGAAGACTTTCTCTGGCTGCCCTTTACATCTCCAGTTGGTGTCGTGGACCTGCTTCAGGATCATCCATGCCTCGTCGTGTTTGGCATTCTGCGCCACACACACACACACACACACAAACACACACACACACACACACACACACACAAACACACACACACACACACACACATCAATTTTATATCTCCTTAAAACCCAACAGGAAGTTGAAATCTTTGATTTTAGATCTTAGCTTTGACAGAACCAGACTTTCTCAGGCTAAAAATGATGTCTTAATAATTAAAACATGAGCTGTACCCACTGTTGCAACCCTGACCGCAGCCACCTAACTGTAAAGCAGCACCTGGTTGGTTGACAGGTTGGGTTCACAGGTGAACTCACCTCCAGCAGGAAGCGAGGACTCTCAGGCATGAAGGTGAGTCCAACCAGAGAGGCGACGGCCGGAAGGACTGCAACGAGGACAAACACCCTCCAGCTGTGGAACTGGAACTCTGTCCCCATACTGAAGCCCCAACCTGTCCACAAACATCAGAACTATCAGGTTAACCCCCCACCTGAGGCCCCGCCCCTCACAATCTGAATGAAGACAGAAACATCTTTACTTAACACACATTTGGGTTTGACTGTGGTTCAGGATTAATCTGTTAGCACAAGAATCAAGATGAACCAGGACTAAACTGGATCAAACCAAGCTGAACTGTCTCACGTCGTCTCCGTCTCAGGCAACATGAAGACTCACCGTATCGAGGGATGACCCCCCAGGCCGTGAAGGAAGCATAAATCCCACCGATCATCCAGAACATGCAGAGCCAGGACAGATGTTCTCCTCTCTTCTCCATCTGCAGAAACTCTGAGAAGTACGAGTACACGATGGGCACTGTGCCCCCAATCCTGAAACCAGAAAGAAGAACTGTAGGGTAGAAAGACATCAAGTCCCGCCCCCACCCCCCACACTAAGTGGGATGTAGGGACTTTGTTGGACCCTCAAAGGTACGTCTGCTCTTGGAATGCACAGGAGCAGGGTCAGAAAGTCATGAGATCTGGCAGAAGAGGCAGAGAAGGGCAGCTTTTGACTGTGGCTGAGAAGGAAGGACAAAAGCTGGGGGTAAATAACATCTAGGGCATCAGCAGGGGGTGGCAGGGAGAGACTCTGCCTTCGCTCCAACACCATGAGATGTACTGGAGTTAAAGGAGTGAAACATCGTGGCTGGTGGTCCCCAGCTGGTGACCCTTTATGCTCATGGAGGTGTTCAGGTGAGTGTTGCACAAAGGTGCATCAGGCAGCAAGGCCTAGCAGGTAGTCCATCAACGTGAATTTTACAAGCTGTTACTTTTAGCTTTCTTTTGCAATTCTTAACTAGCCTTTTACCCCAGGTTTTAGCTGTTTACTACTTTTAGCTTTTAGACCTATATAGCATTGAGCTAGTCTTTTGCTACCTTTAGCTTTTACCTACCCTTTTACATTTAGCTTTTATTTGCTACGCCTATTAGCTAGCCTTTTGTAATTTTTAGCTTTCAGCTAATGTTCTATATCTTTAAGTTTTAATATCTAAGTTTCTGCTTCGTCAGAAAATTTTAACTGAGTCAAAAAACCTTCTGTAGTTTTATTTTTCTGCCTGAATGAGGTCAGAGTTAAAATATTGCTCAGAAAATAAAGCTGAGAACACAGCTGAACGTCTTGTTTTAATCTTTTATTTTTGTGTTTTTCCTGTTTGTCTGTTTTTATCCTGAGAAGGCAGAAATGTTTTGCTGCTCTGAGCTCAGCTGATTCCCTGCAGACCAGATATTCTGAGAGGAACTCTGCTGCGTCACTGAAACCCAACACCGACCCAGCTGCTGCAGAACTGGACTCAGACACAAAAACCAGACAGCAGGAAGAGTTTTACACCTGAGGTGTTAAAAAATAAATCTCCTTCATCCAATCAAATAACATAAAGAAGGAAGAATCAGACCAAACTGATATGTTTGTACCTCAACCAGCCATAACATTATGACCACCTAATACTGAGCAGGTTCTCCTTTGTCTTCAAACAGCTCCAAACCATCTGATCATGTACCCAGATCTACCTCTAAAGGTCTGCTGTAGACCTGTGAGGGCCTAATGTGGTCTCTGGACCTGACCCATCAGCAGCAGATCCTTTAATTCCTGTAAGTTGTGAGGTGGGAAGTCCATGGGCCGGAATTGTTTGTCCAGAACACCCCAGACCACCTTGTGCTGAGGCTGCAATGTGTAGAGGTGCAGCCCCAGGTGGTGGATTGGGGATCCCTGTTCCTGGTGCATAGGGGTGTGCCTGAATAAGCTGAAAGGCGAATAGGGTACCGCGAACCAAAAGCACCGGTCAGGTGGGGCTCGATAGCCTTGACAGGCAACCCACCTAGGAAAAGAAAAACTCTGATGTAAAACCCGGGTACCGTCAACACTTGTCATCTGTCTACTCCTGGTGGATGGCAAGTTGACAAGTACTTTTTTACTGAGCGGACAAGGAAACGGTCCCCAGTACCTGGAAAAAAGGGGTTTCTAAAATCTCAGAGAATCTAGCCTGCAGCACATTGGGCATGGATGTTGCAGATGGTCCTATGACCAGGCTGGATGAGCCAGCAGTACAATGACTGGAACAGCCTTTACTCTGGCCCCAGTCCCTGATGCCAATGGGTTGGGCCCTGGACCACCAGAGGGTTTAGTGCCCTGGGGCTCAGCGAGGGCTTCTGCCTCTGCTGTTGCTGGGTCTACAGGGAGTACCCAGTGCGAGTGTAGCCCCTTGACTGCACCCCATCGGGGAGTGGTCGGAGCCTTACAAGTGCTGGGGTCTCCAGGTGATGAGGACACTGACATGATGCTGGTGTCCTCTGATGGAGAAAAGTGTCCTAATCTCTGCAGTTTTAGGGATGATGGAATACATTCAGAGCAACTTGCATCATTGTAAAGACGCAAGTACATTGTTGTGTACCTGCCTTAGCAAGATGCATCCAGGCCTTTATCCAGGAACCTTTGATAAGCCTATGGAACGAGGCCTGGGGTTCCCTGGGGGCACACTTCTATATGATGTGAGCAGCCGCAGACCCAGAGCAGCAGTATTCCTGACCAGAGGTGTAAGATACACTGCACTGCCCCACCTAACAACAGGTGATGTTGTAGCAGTGCAGCTGGATATTCAATCAAATGGCAAATCCAGACCGATCATTGCAGCCTCTGTTTATCTGCCGTTTGATTCACAGCAGCCACCTCCATCACAGGGGTTTATGGCAATAGTGGATAATACTAAAGACAAGGGCCTCCCGGTACTCTTTGGTTGTGATGCCAATTCCCATCATGTGTGCTGGGGGAGCTCTGATATTAACCCTAGAGGAGATCTCTGTTAGAATACTTGCTGACAGAAGACCTGCTAGTCTTTTATCAGGGCACTGTACCTACCTTCCAAACTGTTAATAGGGAGGAGGTCATTGATATAACATTTGGGTCTATGGACCTGGTAAACAAAGTATGTGACTGGGAAGTATCCCCAGAAGAAACCATGTCAGACCACCAACAAAGTCTCCAGCTTAGACATCTGCAATCCACCAATGTGTGGCATCTCTCAGAGACCTTCAGTGTACCCAGAAGGAAATATTCATCCTAACAGATAGCCAAGCTGCTATTAAAGCTCTCCGAGGGTCACACTTTACGTCACTACTGGTTGGGAGTGTGCTGAAGCAGTCAACCAACTGGGGAGAGATAACAGTGTTATTGTTAAATGGGTACCAGGACACACTAGCATCTATGGTAACCAGAGAGCTGACTACCAGCTGGCAGTCAGGCTCACTTCAAAGGACCAGAGCCTGTTGTAGGTACATCAACAACAGTCTGTAGGACTGCCCTACAGGCCTGGATTAGACGTCAACACTCAATCCGCTGGAGGGAACTGACAGACTGTAGACAGGCACGGGAACTGATTAACGGCTGAAATCTAAGGTTTGGGAAAGCTCTCATCTCCCTGACAAGGAAAATTCTAAGTACACTGGTTGGAGGTCTAACTGGGCACAATCTGCTCAACCACCACAAAATGGTGATGGGACTCTGTGACAATGGTCTTTGTGATGCCTGTGGCATTGAACTACAGACCTCTTTGCACTACTAGACCACTGTGTGGCTCTGAGTGGTCAAAGGAATATAATTCTTGGGGACCCCTTTATGGATCCTGAGAAGCTCAGAACACTGAGTGTTTCTAACCTGGTGTCCTTCATCCAAGGGACGAGAAGGTTTGAATGAAGACCAGTGTCTTTTTGGGGAGAGCATTGGGCCTACACACAAGACCCCACTCATATGGGTTCTTTATCCATCCCCACTAACCAAAAAAAATCTGATCTTGAGAAGTTGGAGTCAGCTCCTCAGACTGGTTTGTATGTTTTTCATAATGTTCTGGAAGCATCTCTGCAGTGTGGTGTGGAGCAACATCCTGCTGAAATAGACCACCAGCTCCATGATGGGGGGCTTGATCAGGAACGACGTTTAGGTAGGTTCTACAGGTCAAACGAACATCCACAAGAACAGAAGGACCCAAAGGTTCTTAGATAAAATGTACAGAAAGACCCAACCAAAAACATGATGAAAGGTCGTTCTGATGTGTCCAATAGGATCTCTGGGTAGTGGGGTAGGTAACCAGGTAGTCTGTGGTTTTCACCTGACAGTGGTCATAATGTTCTGGCTTTCTGTGCCTCTCTAACAGTGTGTTGGAGTTACCCGATGCCAGACAGCAGTCTGAAGAAGAGGAAGAAGCCGTAGCCCTGAGCGAAGGACGACAGGAAGGCAAAGATGCAGTTTAAACCCAATGCCATGATCAGACAGCGCCGCCGGCCCAGTTTATCAGCAAGACCCCCCCACAGGAAGGCCCCCACCATCATGCCCAGGAAGACCACCAGACCTGCACACACAGACAGACAGAACGTTAATCAGAGTGCCTCAGACGCTGAAATAACAAATGAGTTTAAAGGATTTTCTGTTTTCTTCTTCTAGCTGACTGGACTCTGGAAGTCTGAGTCATGTCAGCACACTCAGCTCTTTTTTCTGTTTCTAAACTCAGACCTGTTTGAGCTTCAGCCTCTGCCAACTTTAACCCTGATGGATGCCAGAGAAGCAAGTGCACAGATGGCTGCACAGCAAGGAGGGAGTCTGTGTGACTCATCACGCTGCTTATGAATCACAAAACCTTTCTAATCTTTCCGTTTTCATACAAAAGCATCTCTGCAGGACAACGAGGCCTTGAAGCTCTCTCGGAGCTGAGCAGAAGGCATCGATCGCTCCGGCTGCTGAGTCACAGCAGAAACACAAAGTCGAGGTGAAAACAGCTCCGAAGTTTGGAGAGGCGGCAGGACAGAGGAGGTGAGAGACAAACACAAACAGGAAAAACCAAGTTTGTTCTAAACATAAATATATAAAATATATCTTTCCTTTCTTCAGTTCTTTGTTTCCTTCCTGCACAGAATCTTCTCGGTGCACAGGACTAATAAATAAAACCCCACCTTTCCACAGACCCACTTATAGTAATGAGGAAAAACAGACTGACTCTGCAGCTGCATTTATTTTTCACAGACTTAGTTGCTGCTGCTCATTAGTTAATTAGACTGTAAGAGAAAAAGAGTGTCTCGCTTTTAAAAGCTTCCAGGCGTTAATCACATCCGAGTCATTCCATGTGTTTTCATATATTGTTACGTCAAATTCACTGCAAATAAGGCTGTGCTGTTGTTGTTGTGTTTTTTTATTCAGTCTTAAAAATAAATCCAAATTTCAAGTTTCAGGTTTTAACCTTCATAAAAGAACAAAATAAAATTTATCAGAATTTAAAATAATTTTAATTTAATCTCAGATGAACAAAAACACAACAGATTTCATTGAGTCATTATTATTAAACTGATAAAAGATTTCATTTCCAACCTTACTGGGATGCAGAGGACATCATATTTTAAATTGAAGTAAATGGGACAAAATTTGTGTAAATTCTTGAGGCGGGATCAGTGGGTTTAGACCCGTTCTCCTGCAGACCTTCTCTAACACAGGTAGTGTGTAAAGTTCTTACCCAGCATGCCTTTCTCTGCGTTGGACAGACACAGGTCTTTTTCAGCTGACGGCAGAACAAACGCAACCACGAAACACTCAACACTGTCCGCCATCAGAGCCAAACCCAGGACCACGAACAGAGTCCACTGGAACCTCCCGTGTCCACAGTCCTCCATGATGTCCTCGTACTGCTCCGATAGCTCCTCCAGCTCAGAGACAGAGCTGCCAGTCGGTCGAGACTTAGCTCTGGAACAATCAGAAGATTAATTTTATTTAAGTTTCACACTGAAGACCAGACAGATTTCTGTCAGGTGTTCGTTGGATATGTTGGGATTTTGTCAGGTCTTTAGTATGAATGTTGGGGTTTTGTCTGGTTCTCTGTCTAAATGTTGGGTCTTCGTCAGATCTTTAGTGTAAATGTTGGGTTTTTGTCAGGTCTTTAGTGTAAATGTTGGGTTTTTGTCAGGTCTTCAGTCTAAATGTTGGGTTTTTGTCAGGTCTTCAGTCTAAATGTTGGGTTTTTGTCTGGTTTTCAGTCTATATGTTGGGTTTTTGTCTGGTTTTCAGTCTAAATGTTGGGTTTTTGTCAGGACTGTAGTGTAAATGTTGGGTTTTTGCCAGGTCTTTAGTGTAAATGTTGGGTTTTTGTCAGATCTTTAGTGTAAATGTTGGGTTTTTGTCAGGACTTTAGTGTAAATGTTGGGTTTTTGCCAAGTCTTTAGTGTAAATGTTGGGTTTTTGTCAGGTCTTTAGTCTGAATGTTGGGGTTCTGTCAGGTCTTTAATCTGAATGTTGAGGTTCTGTCAGGTCTTCAGTTTGTAGCCTTGTGTTTCAGATCTGTGGCGTCTCACCGTGCAGCTCTCTGTGCAGCCTTCACCTCGTCAGGATGAGGGATCCCCTGATACTCTCCTTCATACATCTGATCCTCTTCATCATGACCTTCAGTCGCGTCACTAGCTGCGTCCTCCTCCTGAGAAGGATAGTCTGCTTGGTATCCATATCCATCCTGACCTACACCTTCCCCATAGGTCCCGTAGCTGTCACCCCCTCCCTGCTGGTAGATGTTGTTCTGGTAGGGGTCGGCCATCTTGGCTCAGCTTGTGGCTAATATTAAGGTAATATTTGGATTTTAGTATTTGGTTTCTTCTGCTCTGATGTTTTCTTCTCAGACAATCTTGTTTGAGTTTATAGTGAATCCTAAAGACTCAACACACCTGAAAACTTCGGCCTCACATTTAATGAGTAATAATAACAGGTGTGTCATCATACATCAGTTTGATGACATGAGTCTCCTGATTCATTTCTTTTTGTCTCGAAGGAGGAAAGTCTAAAATCCTTTAAGCTCTCGTCTTCAGGGTCAAAACCTGCAAACAGAAAAGTTCACATCAGTGTAGCCCTCAGAGCACAAATATCACATAAACCCACATTATTTATTCAAATCCAGACGTAGACTTATATTCTGAGAGTTTTATTTTAATACATTTGTATTTTACTTTAAAGCACACCTGAACAGGTCACCTGTCCAACTGGGACCATAAAGACGCAAACAACCATTCAGACTCACAGCTCAGGCCAATTCAGAGTCATCAGTTAACGTAACATGAATGTTTTTGTCCTGTGAAAAGAGACCAGTGTACCCAGAGAAATCTCATGAATGTGATAACATCAGTGCTCCAGTTCTCATCCATCAGTTTATCACATCTGTTGAAATGACTGAAACATGGCAGATCATTTGTTCATGTCTGCATGTTTACTCTGGTATTATCAGCAGTACCATCTCTGACATCTCTGCAAACATGATCTGGTTGTTCTGGCTGTGATTCATTGCTGCTGCTCCACAGATGCTCACACTCCAGAAATTTAATGTTGTTTGATCTGAAAGGTTAGACGGAGCAGGTCTTCCTTCATCAGAGAGTTAAACAGATTATCTGATAGAAACAGAAGCTTCTGTGGTTTGTTGGTGAAAACACAACTTCACTCCATTATCAGCTGAAGTACATTAGTGGTCAGGATCAGTTCTGCTTTTTGTTCTGGGTCTGTTCAGCGACATGTTGGAGTCGCTGCTCAAACAAACCACACAAACATCAGATATCTTTCCAAACACACACACTGTTTAAAGGATGCATGTTGAAATGAACCTATTAGAATTTTTGATTTCAGAATCTGTTTTTTCTGTTTTCAGTCCAATAATAACTGAATAAAGCATAATAATAAACCGGACCAAGATAAAAACAGTAAATGAGCCTCAGCTGATGGAATCACAGGCGGTTCAACCAGCTGCAGGAAATGAAAACATGTTTGTTGTCTTATTAAAGTCTCCGTTACACCTGAACTTATCAGCCTTCATTCAGCCAGTGTCGCCTCATCAAATCAGATCTTTTTCACAAACAGGAAATCAGAGTCTTCATCAGTCTGAGAAGAGAAACAGTCTGGAGTTTATTACTTTAATTATAAAGTTTTAATCTCATGAAGTTACCACCTGGAGTCAAGACAAGAGTGTCTCGACACGTTCATATGTTTTAGAAGGTCATTAAAAAATTGTTATTATTATCATTATTATTATTTGTTATTTTGTTTCAGAAGAGTTGTATTATTAACCTGCATGAGAAAAACAAGAGAGATCTCTGAAAATTACAAAAATGGTGTTAAATATTGTCTAGTTAACTATAAAAAAGGTTTAAGGACCCTTCTTCCATTAGGCCCCTCCCATAACAGGCTCCTCCTACTCAATGTACTGCCTACCTAAAAATCCCTTTTTACATTAGGCCCCTCCTACATCAGCTGCAACTGTAGAAAATATCAGCCGCAGCCGTAGAGAACATCAGCTGCAGTTATACAGAACATCAGCTGCAGTTATAGAGAACATCAGCTGCAGTTATACAGAACATCAGCTGCAGTTATGGAGAACATCAGCTGCAGTTATGGAGAACATCAGCTGCAGTTATGGAGAACATCAGCTGCAGTTATGGAAAACATCAGCTGTAGTTTTAGAGAACATCAGCTGCAGTTATAGAGAACATCAGCTGCAGTTATACAGAACATCAGCAGTAGTTATAGAGAACATCAGCTGCAGTTATAGAGAACATCAGCTGTAGTTTTAAAGAACATCAGCTGCAGTTATGGAGAACATCAGCTGCAGTTTTAGAGAACTTCAGCTGCAGTTTTAGAGAACATCAGCTGCAGTTATAAAGAACATCAGCTGCAGTTATAGAGAACATCAGCTGCAGTTATGGAGAACATCAGCTGCAGTTATTGAGAACATCAGCTGTAGTTATAGAGATCATCAGCTGTAGTTATAGAGAACATCAGCTGTAGTTATGAAGAACATCAGCTCTAGTCATAGAGAACATCAGCTGTAGTTATAGAGAACATCAGCTGTAGTTATAGAGAACATCAGCTGTAGTTATGGAGAACATCAGCTGTAGTTATGAACATCAGCTGTAGTTATAGAGAACATCAGCTGTAGTTATAGAGAACATCAGCTGCAGTTATAGAGAACATCAGCTGTAGTTATAGAGAACATCAGCTGTAGTTATAGAGAACATCAGCTGCAGTTATAGAGAACATCAGCTGTAG